TTATTGTACTCTGGATATAATCAAAGTGGAATTTACGATAAGATAGTTGGAGAGGGAACAGATCTGAGGGAAAGTATCGAAAGTAGGAGAGGCTGTAAAGTTGAAAGAGGACACAATCAAGTCACAGGGCTATATTTGGCCCTAGGCTAGAAAGAACATAAATCAATATACAGGTAAAATTTTAAGGTTGAATGGGATGGGGTAAATTTGAGGCTCATAATGGGGAAAATTTCAACATAACAAGGGTTTAATTTAAATCAAACATGAAACCTAGAGGAATGGTTAATCCTATACTGTACTATTTTTTACCGTTCTCATGAAGCTAGATCCCATATTTCAATCAAATTATCATTTGGTTAAAAAATTTTCCCCTTCAATTGTGAAAAGTTTTCAAGAGGGTATACCACAGCCCAACTGTTTTAATGCACAATAAGGTTGATAACTAAAAATACAAATTTATCTGTCAAGCTCTATCAGATGCAAAAGAGAAATCCTGGATGTAGTGTGAATGAGATGGTTCCACAAATAGAATAAGAACAGCTCCAAGAGTTTCTTTACTGGTGCATTCCACTAATCAAAATTAACTGCATCTTCCAGTTTCCCTCTTTCCCAGTGAAGGAGGAAAGCAAGCAACTCACACTAGGACTAAGGCTACCATTTATCTTGAAGAGCATCATCTATCAATCTAAAGACTGATATTTTAGCAATAGGCATCATATTCATGGGTGGCACTGAAGCAAATGGATGGGAGTCCCTGCCTGGGATCTGCCATCCTCCTCCCTCTTCTCTCCCATGCCACCAGAAGAGTGACCTCTTCCCCCAAATGTGGTTGGAAACAGCCTAACTCATTTCCTCTAAAGGTAGGAGTGGCAGTTCAACCAACATGCTCACCTGCCACTGTAACTCCTGAGATCATAGCACACTCAATCTTATCTTCTTCACATGTAACAACCTGGAGAACAACAGTATGGCTGATCAAGCCCAGACTTCTCATTATGGGTTGACGTTTCCTCTAGCATGACCTCCATACATGAGGGTTTTCTGAATCTTTCAACAATACATGTCCAGTAATCTATCCCTCTCCCAGGCCTCACAGACGTTGTGGCAGCTATGACCCCTGAGGATAGTCACCCCTCAGACAAAAGAGGATATAGCTCCCAACTGAATCAAGATACTGATTACTTTTATCACCTATAACTCAAGCTACACACAGGATAGCCCATCACACCCCTTGGAATAAACCAATGTCTCAAGCCTCTTGCCTTCACCACTAGTCTGGTTGTTGGTGGTCGATGTCCCATACAGTATTATGTGAACATCAGCCCACAGAAACTCAAGATGACAAAATATATAAATCCCCTTAAGCTCTAAAGTGCCAATCCAAGGCTTGTCAGATATGTGCATGCATCAAATCTTATGGCTTTTGCAAAGGCCTTCAATACCCACACCTGAACCTCAAGTAATGGCTCCCTTTCTTTAACCCTTAACACTATGAAATCAAGTTGTCCATCAGGAGCCCCATCCCACCGTCAATATACCTAACACTGACATCTACAGTAGCTCCTGCACCATTTCTGCTTAGGTTGTTTCCCACAGCTCAACTCCTCTTTCTCTCTCTCTACCTGTCCCATCCCCCAACCCCCTTCTACTCCCCCTTTTAAAAATTGTGGAGAACCAGGGAAACCATACAGTATGCCAGTGTCTACCTTCCAATCTCTTGACCACACTTCTTCCACAGCAACAACTCCCTTCCCTAGCATCACTTCCAACCCCACCCTCTCCTATCTCCCATCATTTTACCTTTCCCCTGCCATCAAAGAAGACTCATCCATCCTCTCCAACCACTTCTCTTTGGTCTACTCGATATTCTTTTCCTCCAGTAAAGTAATGTATGCTCCCTCTTGCTTCTCTGAGTAAAGAGAGTACACTGCTCCCTGAATGTGCCAAATGCATGGGCCTTCTTACACTGTTTGCTCTGCTCCCCCCTCCAAGGTCATTTCCCTCCTCTGTCCACAGGGGTTCCCTTTTAATTCCTCATTGTTGATCTCTCACTCCTGTTCATTACCCTTTAATACATTAATATTTACTGTAAAGTTAATGACTTAGCCTCCAACATCATCCGTGAAAGCCAAGACAGGCTTTCCACCATTGCTTTAAAATTCATTAATGATTGGCATCCCAATTTTACTTCCTTCACCTCCAGTGTCCAAACCAAAGAAGCTATTGCCTTACTGTGTCCTTTTACATCAACTTGAGAGGTACCATTGTATATACATGCTGGTCTCCTCTCCTCATCAGCCCATGCTTCTTCACATATTGAATCAATCCTTGCCAGAGATCATCTTGCTGTCCTTTCAACTGTTTACCTAATACATGACCCCTCCTTTGGTACTTGCACCCGAGTGTGATTCTTATACACAGGACCCACATTTTCCAGTAAAAAAACAAGTTATTTACTATACAGTATTGTGCTGGAATTTAAAACAGCACAATGAAAAATGCAATGCTATTATGAACTAACTCATTGATTGAGAAAATCCTTAGTGATGCTCGGTGTATCGAAGCCGCAGCAATCATATAACTTTGCGACTCCTTGGAAGAGCCACACCCTAATATCCCTGAAACTGTATTCCATGACATAGCACATGCACTGCAGCTATCATTTCCAAGCAAGACAGGGTCATCTCTTCTTCTTTATCCCCTTCACCTTCCTCCTCTGGTTCACCCTCTTTTGGTACAAAGACTGCTTGGATCTACGTGATATCCTATTCTGTGAGTGATCAACTGTAGGAGCCATGGTTTCTACATCAAGCCTTGCCTGCCAGGTGTCATTCTCCATGCTGTCAGGTGATAAGATCTCATCCTCAGATGCTGGAGCCACTGGAAGTTCTTTATAAGCTGCTGTCACATCCCCAGGAAATTTTGTACAAATTTAGTGTATACAGATATACTGTACCCTGATTAACACGGTATTATGATAGTACATAATTTACACTTTTACTTTCCATTCACACCTTAATATTTTTAACCCTTAAGCCCCGGGTTAGGGTGCTGCTGGCAGTAACCCCCCGTGGGGTTAAATCAAGAAAATACTCAACTTTAAAAAAAAAGGCGGGAAAATAGGCGGACGTTCTGGAACATCACCCGGGGCCTAAAGGTTAACTATATTACATTTTTTTTAGGGTGGAAAATATGTAAGAACTAATTATGCCTTAAGAAAATTGACATAAAATATTCCAAGCACTTTGACTGCATACAGCATGTCTTAATGGAATTGTTTACAAGCCAACAGAATCTTTCAAATCTAGCCCCACACTTCAAAGAACTCTCCAGCAATTTCTTGTATTTTTCAAGCAAATTATCCTTTTCAGAGATACTGAATTAGTAAAGTGACCTTGCATGGGAAATGAGCAGCAGCAATACCCCTCGTGAAAAAAGATCATCCAAAGCCACCACTTTAAATGTTAAGTAGGAGGTGATAAGGTATCAGTCGAGTTTTAGGAGTTTCTCCATCAACTGTGTCAACTATTAAATAAATTAGTTTTCTTTTTCAATAAATAGTTGCCCAAGTATAATGCACTTTTAATTCTTATGCATGCAATTGCTTGAGTTGTAGAGTCTTTTAGTATGCACTGGATGTTTTTTCCAAAATAATATTATCTCCCCATTGATAATAATAATCAATGAATAAACATGATTTGATTTAGTATGATATGGTTTTCAGGAACATAACTCTATTGCAAATCGAGGTACAGTACTGTATACCTGCATGGAAACAAATTCTTTCCAGCAATTTTGATTCTAATGTCCGGGTGATTATTATTACTGGGGTTGACTATAACCCATTATTCACCCTCTCGACCTTTCTTATGCCTCTTGTCTTCTTCTCTATAACTGGAAAACTGTAAAGATGATTTTCATCCCAAAGCCTAATACTCCAGACATTTTTTGTCCAATCAGCTTGTCCTCTTTTGCAAGATGTAAATGATCCCATTTCCCAAAATGAGATTGTTTCACCTGAAGAGCACTAAATTTTCATTTCACTGAACGCAGAGGACGAGGTAGTAACCGCCTCATTCTTGCTCTGTTGTGACTCAGTGTACCCAAAATAGTCTAGCTGGAGAATCCCCCAAAAATTTCTTTCATTAATAATACACTGCACCTCATCACTTTCCACGTAATAAGTGTCATGATGTCCTAGATGTAATACCGGCTCATTCGGGGACCCTAGCAAATGAGATAGCTGACGCTAATGAAACCAGAAAGAGAATACTATAAATTCTTTAGTTCCCTGTCCATCATGCAATTACTGTACTGTATGTAGTAAGATCTAACTTAACCAACTTAACTTGCAAGAATGAAATTCACCTCCAAGAAAGTGGTTTCAGTTTGACAATCAAAATGACCTCCCATTTTTGCAATCTATACTAACACAGCTCCTGGGAATAAAGCCATCATAGACCTATCATTTCCCTGTTGCTTTGAGAAAAGGTACTGGTCGAGGAGACCTCAGTCTCCATATGTGGGCGCTGATCTGCTATTTTAGCTCTCCACGTTGTAGATAATACTAAACTTGCTAATAACTTGTGATTTACTCCAACTGTATATCTGGCTAATGGCTTTTTCCATATCCCCACAATTGTATTTGCCTCCTCTACTCAGCCATTAGTGCTTGGAATCTCCAAACTGGAGTACTAAAGTTTTATTTGTGATTCCACTTCACTGATTAAGAGACGATGAATTCAATTTAAATCACTATGACTGAGAAATGTTGGGAGTTATGGACACTTGATTCAGATGACAATACTGTAGCATTTAATAATGCAATATGAAGAACATATGAAAATTAATAGAGATGTAATGCATTTTCTTTTTATGTTTTCTAGGAAGGTTAAAACAGTGTAGCAACGTTTAAAATATTAAAGAATGTGAGACCTTCTTAAAGAGAAACCATTATTTCAACAACTATTAAGACTTTAAATCAGCTATTAAATACTCACTCCCTGTATACCAGAAGTTCCAGGCATGGCTTGCGCGACAAGCTCCTCCATGGTTTGTGGCTGTGACGTCAAGACCTGAGGCTCAAAGCCCTGAGGACCTTCAGAAACCCCATCACCTGCAGAAGACATAGTGCACCATGTATAGTATATGTGTGTGTGTGTGTGAGCATAATGGATTTAATTTTTACAGGTATATTAAAAGATTTGCTATAAAATTTGCCTCATAACATGTGTGCCAATGATGAAAATAGGGTTACATCCTTGTCCCTAAAATTAACTTACACCACAAAAATTATTGTTTATTTCAACTGATAAGTTAACTAATCCTTCCTGAAAAGTAAAGAATCATTTGTAACAGAAATGTGATCTTAAACAAACAAAGAATTTACTAAGCATGCATAAAACAAAGTAGGAAGCCAGGGAAGGGGGTGGGGAGGTGAGGTACTGAGGGCTGTAAATGCTAGTACAGTACTATTTACTACAATAAGATCATTAAATAATTTTACAGACTGATTAGTATGAGCTATATATACACATATAGTGTGTGTGTGTGTGTGTGTGTGTGTGTGTGTGTGTGTGTGTGTGTGTGTGTGTGTGTGTGTGTGTGTGTGAGGGGGAAGGATTGTTAAGGTGGATTTACCATGCCACATCCCACAACTGCTAACACCAAATGTATCTGTAATGAAGTCACTGAAGTGTTACTGTATACAGTATTTCATATTACAGTCGAATAAAAAGGGATGTAATTTTAATGTAGTATCAGCGAATAAAGTACGGTGTTGTGTTTAGTGAACAATGTACAATCTGCACCACACCACTGAACACCTTCACATGGTAATGATCATTAGAGGACAAACATGAGAATGAAGTTACATGTTTGTTATTTATCTATTTTGTTTTGTGGTGAACAGTATATATTTACTATACTGTAATCACATTTTGTATCTACCAGTCTTTATATCAGTGACCACACACACTACCTCCCCCATTGCTGCTCCTCTCCTAACCTACAAATGCATGGTTTATGCTTCTTGCTCCCTTTTATCATTCACTTTCTAACTTTCTTCATTTTATATTTATTTATTAAACATTTATAAAATTATCGAATGAAACATACAGTATCAAAAATATTAAGTACTTCTCTAAGAATTATAATATTAAAGACATTTAATGTTTTTTCTTCAAAGGCAATAATGATACACTTCAGTACAGTAGTTGTCAGAAAAGAGACCAGTGAGGAACTGAATAAACCAATAAATTCTTAAGACAAATTTTTCTCATACACTAATTTCATCATTTCAAAACTTTTTTTAATAAATTATATGTTCATTAATGTAGTTATATACAGTGCATCCATAATGTCTTCAAAGCAATTAAATAAGAATACAGTAAGTGATATGGCTGCTGTGGTCGTGATCAGCTGATGAATATTTTACACTGACCAGCTAGATTGTATCTATGTATAGTACTCTAATGGAAATCTCTTAAAAGTATCAGACATGGATTTTCCCTTCCATCTCAGTATATTGCCCGAAGATTCTCAACTTAAGCTCAGACTTGACTCATATTCAATATCAGACTTAATGACCTTTGGATCTCAGACCTAGGTCAGACTTTGGCCTACTCAGAAAATCAGCCTTCCCAGACAGCTCTTTCACCCAATTAGTCAGAGTATAATTCATGGGTTTTCATACCAGAAAAGGTACACAAGTAGGGGCCATTTATTCAGCATGCTTGGGGCCTGGAATTTGGAATGCCAGGTCTAAAATGTGTACTAACCCCTCTGTAACTGGATGTGAACCCTAAAAGTAGCTTTAACTGTAGACTGCAACATTAAAACTAAGCATATAAACACCCATAAATTACAATAATTAAAGCACAAAATTGATACAGAACTGTGCAAGTTAGTGTTCAAACTGCATTATAATATTCACTGACGCTCGCCTCAGCAACAGTGCCCTGCACCCTGGACCCTCTGACCACATTCTCACCACAGTTTCAGGGTGGAAATCCACAGATACTTAAGACCTTTTACCTTATGAAAATTATTTATATTATTTCTTTATGCTCTATATACGTGTGTGCATATAAATGAGTAAAAGAAAGGAAGAATATTACATGTTATGAGTTGAAAAGTAACCATAACATTACTGTACATATAGCCCACAGGCGGGGAGTGGTTGGAAATTTCATTCCAGAACATAGCCGGTTTTTGGAGGGTTCCAGATACCAGGATGCCGGATAAACAGTCCCACACCTGTATCAGTATTATACACAGATTTTATCCATAAAGATTCTATGAACAACAAATTGGGTGGAATTTACTATGACGAATTTAATCAATATAAATGAGGAATAAACATTACATTCAACATCAAAAAGCCACTACACATCACAGGGGACATCATACCTTGCAAACCTGGTGTAAGTGGGTTGTACACTATACTACTGTCTGAGTTCATCATGTCAGAGTTCTCCTCCTCTTCTTTAGGCTCCTCCAACACTTCTGTCTTGACTATAGTTTCATCATGAACAAGTACCTACACCAAACAACAATATATATAAAGTAATAGTAATAATTTAATGGTAGAAAGGCATCCACAGATAGAACACAAATTACAGGGTGTTTTGGATATATTTTTCATAATTCTAGGGGTGTATGTCTGAGACATACATATGGATAAATGACTCCAGGGGTGTCACCAATGCTTGTATCACTCTCTTGCACTTGTCACCACAATTCCTCATGAGCTGGGATTTCTGTAGCATACAATTTCCTTTTAACGTGAACCCATAAGTAGAAGTAAAGAAGGTTTAGGTCAGGTAATCGAGGTGACCCTATCTGACCGCCAGGATACCCAACATTTAGGAATCGTGTTGTTACTCGAGCAAAATGAACTGGAACACCATCATGCATGTACCACTGTTGTTGACGAATCCTGATGGACACACCCTCAAGCATCACTGGCAAAGTGTCCTCAAGAAAATTTGTGTATGTTTCACCTGTCAGTCGCTGGGGTAGCAGATATGGATCAATAAGGCGGTCACCAATAATGCCGACCCAAACATGATTGCAAATTGTACCTGATAAGGTGTATGTGTCACTGCATGTGGATTGTTTAACAGACCCACTAGACTGTTATGACTTTCAGTACTTTAAATAGGGCTTGATATTTTATGTTTAATGTCCATAGACTTGTTGCAGTCCTCCACTGCCCAATTTTGTGTTATAACTCTGAAACTATAAGGTATTGACACTATGGTCATGGAGTAATTTATTCTTATGTACGTCTCAGAAATATATACCCCAAACTATGAAACATATTTCCAAAACACCCTGTATAATGATAGCATAAAAAGGGGAAAAGATAATAAGAACAGTAATTTCAACTAATGTTACTTGAGGGCAATATATCTCACTCTTCAGTATTCATTAAATAAATGGTAGCACTGCAGCAATAATATACTGGCATGTCAAATTAATTAATATTATACTCTGTAGATTACAAAGAAATTCCTACATACGTATACAATATTTAACCAACAACAAAAGCCTGTTCAGTGGTAGGATTCTTATACGTACTGTATTCTACTACATGAGGGTCAAATTTTCTGACAAAAAGTTATAAAAACAATGCCAATAGCTCTGTGATTCTCCGACACCAGTTTTTGATGATTCCTACTTTGAAAATGCTACTTCCCATCTCCCATTGTTTGCTTTCTTTCAGTAGAGACTAGGTTTCATTAGCTAATTATTCATATCATATTAAATGACTTTTAAAATCCTGCATTATTGAAGAGCAATGCTTGGAAAGAAGTGATTGGCTACTGAGGTGTTTATGATTCATTAGGACAAGTTTAAAAGTGTTGATGGACATGAGACTGAGTGCCTTTCATGTTTCCCCCCCAAGATGTCACAATGTTGGATGGTTTTCAAGGCAATACAAAGGTACAATATCACTAAATGATTACAATCATAAAGTATGGTGGTGGCACTTGTTGCTTTACAGAAATTTATAAAATAATAACATCAGTAAACTCCATTATCAATATGTGCTTGCATTATCTAAAGTTGCTTTGAGCACAAAGGTTCTTCATCTGTGAACAATTCAACACCCAGTTTCTGAGAATTCTAAACTCTTAAAAATCATTTAGTAATCACATCTCAATATTAAAAATGCCGTATCTAGGATTCCCCCCAAAAATCCTGGAGATTTAAGTCGACATTCCATTTGACCATAAATAAGGTAATAATGCCTCATACACTATACGGTATGGTTCTTCACTTCTACCACTATTCCTAATTAAATACAATGATCAATATATTTTCATAAAGAATAGTCACAACTCAAAGAATTAAAGAGCAACTGAAATACAATATTGTGTAGCAATCATTTCTAACTTTCATAAGACTTATCTTTCCAACACAAAGTATTTATCATACTTGTTACACATAAGCTTTTCTCAACAATCATTTCTATCTTACATGATTAATATTTAAATTTGTTAATAACAATCAACATAAATATACAGTACAAAGACCAGGAAATGTAAAACACATAGCAGGTCTTTTAAATTTACAAAACTATGATAACATACAGTACTTGGGTTAAGACTCACCTCTATGGTTTGACTAGGGGACAAAGTGGGTGGCATGTCTTTTTGTCTATCTCCTCTCTCTCTCTCTGCATCAGAGGGGCGATCTCTGGTGTCTTTCTTTTCTCTTGTGCTCTCTTGACTAGGACCGGATTGGGAGAAAACAGTGTTGGAAAAACCCTCTTCAGAAGCCTGAGAGGAAGGTCGAGTTACATTTGTACGTGTGGATTCCCTCGTCTCTCTGGACGAAGGTTCTCTAGCAGTTCTAGTATCCTCAAAGCTTTGGTTATGCAAAGAGGATCCATCCTCCTGTCTCGCCCGCTTAGACTGGGGTGGACTACCGTCTCTAATAATAGCACTCCGCTTCTCCTTATTGGCACTTCTGGATGTGGGAGCTTCATCGGGCACTGCTAAGCCCTTGATCTTGAGACACTCGGCTGCCTTTATTAGTCCGGCTAAGTCCGCCTGCAGCACATTCACCTCCCCTAAGTACATATAATTGAGAAGAGCCTCCAACTCCTCATGTTTCACATCTTTTAACACTATCACAGGATGCTTGCACTGAGTTCTATTAAATATTTCCTCAAAGTATTCACTACACGTGGAAAGCACCAGCTTGTGCACGGGGTAGAACTTCCCCTCACAGGCCAGCGTCACATCACAGTATGACTCCTGTGTGAAGACAAGACTTTAATTCAGTTTATTTTGAAATATCAAAGAACAGTATTTACATTCTCTGAAGATTACTTATGAAAATTTTTATTAAAAATTCACTTCCATATTTTTAACAAATAAAAATAAGGCTAAATTATCTTAAAAGTTGAGTTACGTAGCTCCTGCATTACATTTAGTTCATTAAGCTATCAGAAAGACAATTGCAATTATTAATTGAAATAAAAGTTATCAACTCTACGTACAATTGTGGCATAGTTCACATCAACCTCACTTATATCATTTAAATAAAAACTTAAATAAAATACTGTACTGTACATAAAAAATGAAAGTGGATTTTGTCCCCATAGGAAGACTGGATACACCAGGGCTGGTACTGCACTCTACTGACCCCACTTCATAGTCATCATTATTTTATGGCTATTTTCCTTGCTTCACTTCCCATTACATACCCAGTTACAGCTCACACACCATGTCACCACAGCCAGCCACTGACAACCAAACATCTCTTAGTTGTGTGGGTATCATAATGTCTCCCAAGCATCTTATTCAGCCTATTTTCTACCCAAGACAAGATCAGGTGACTCCGGTGGTCTTTAAGAATGGGGTGTACTGTAATGTGTATTAAGTTTCCACAGCCCCAAACTTCTTTGAAATCTAAAAATACAATAAAACATTATACTGTATAAACCTTCCCAACAATATGGCGCTAGATTACCTGAAGGGAGACGCTTAGTACAGTAAAGTCTTTTATAACAACGATTTGACCAACAACTTTTCATATTTAAAACCCTAGTTAATTCAGGACCCAATTCAATTTACATCCTTATTTAATTTGTATTTACAATAAAAATATAATAAAAATAAAATAAAATTTTCAAATACAGTACAGGTAAATAATAACTAAATCCCAATATGTATTATAAAAAAAAAAAAAAAAAAATTACTGTAAAAAAAGAGGAACGCCTTGCGCAAAAAAAGCTGCTCAGCTAATGAGTGGTAATGCTCATCACCGGTAAACAACAGTCGGAGCGTGGCGGTCCCTTTGTTTCACGCATCTGAACAGCAACAGGAGAAAAACTTTCTCGGGTTTCTTACGAAATTTTTGAGTCCCTATTCAACAAGAGCAAGAAAGCAAGTGATGGTAGTGCTGGTTCAAAAGCTAAAAGAAAGTGTATAAGCTTAGCCGAGAAACTAGATGTGTTAAAGCAATATGAAAAAGGTGAGAGGGGTGTGGATATTTTGCATGCTTTGGGGATGCCGGATCAACAGTGAAAACTATCTGTAGAAATAAAGAAAAAATTAAAGAAAGTGCTCTGTCTACAACTCCATTAAGTGCAAATAAAGTTTGCCAAAGCAGGAGTGGGGTTATGGAAGAAATGGAGACCCTTTTAAGTATATGGATTGAAGACAAAATTCAGAAGCATACTCCATTGAGCACTGTAATTATTCAAACATATGCCCTAGCAATGTTTAATGATCTTAAAAATTCAAGTACCTGTAAAAGGGAAAATGCTAAAACAGAAAACTTCAGTGTGAGTCAAGGCTGGTTCGCTAGGTTAAACAATGCCACGGATTACATAATTTGAAAGTCACTGGTGAGGCAGCAAGTGGTGATTCATCTGCTGCTAATGCTTATCCAGAAGAACTAAGCAAAATAATTGAGGGAAGCAGCTACTTGCCCAGTCAAGTTTTTAACGTTGATGAAACTGGACTATAATGGAAGAGAATGCCTTCCCGGTCATATATTTTCATGGAAGAAAAAGCTGCCCCAGGATTCAAAGCAGCCAATGATCGTATCACACTCCTCTTGGGTGGCAATGCAGAAGGTGACTTTAAACTCAAACCTCTCGCTGTACATCACTCTGAGAATCCTAGAGCATTCAAAGGTGTGTGCAAACAAACTTTACCTGTAATTTGGCAGTCAAACAGTAAAGCATGGATGACAATGACTCTTTTTGTCGATTGGTTAAAAAAATATTTTTGCCCAGCGTTAAAGGAATACAGTACTGTGCCAAGAAAAACATAACACACAAAGCACTGCTTACATTGGATAATGCTCCAGGCCATCCAGCTCACCTTAATGAATTGTCTGAACATGTACAAGTCGTTTTTCTTCCACTGAATACCACGTCCATGCTTCAGCCTATGGACCAAGGCGTTATCTCATCATTTAAGGCCTATTATTTACGCTGTGCTATGTCTCAACTGATTGAAGAACCAGTTGGTGCTGGAAAGCCGGCCATAAAAGAATTTTGGCGTGGATATCATATTCTAAAAGCTGTTAAAAACATTGGAAAGTCGTGGAAGGAATTAACAGACGACAACATGAATGGTGTGTGGAGAAAATTGTGGCTGGAATGTGTAAAAACCTTTAAAGGTTTTGAGGAAACCATGACAAACATTCAAAGAAATATTGTTGAGCTTGCCAAGCACATGGTAGGATTTGAAGAAGTTGATGAAGAGAATGTTCAGGAGCTTTCAAACAGTCATGGGAAAGATCTATCCAACGAAGAACTTATACAACTTGAACAAGAACAACACGACCGTACCCCAAACACACCAACAGATACCCCTACCTCATCTCACAAATGTATGACTAAGCATTTGGCAGAAGCATTTGCTCACATGGAGCAAGGGCTGAACATATTTTCTGATGTGGATCCATTAACAGAACGATGTATTAAAATAAACAGGGATGTGAAAAACGCATATGACCTCTACATAAGGATGTATAATGAGAATAAGAAAGCAGCTGTGCAAGGTTCTTTAGACAATTTTATTATTCGAAGGCCTAAACCATCAACATCAGCTACAGCATCAAATTCAGCAACTACAGCAACAGCTATGGCAATATTATGGAAAGCTACAGCTTCAGCTAGAGTTGAGCCTGATGACTTGGCAACTTTGTCATCCGAGTAAAAACTACAGACAACAATATTGGCTGTCCTTATGATTTCAACTTTACCACCACTAGTGAGTAGAATTTTTGTTTGAAATTCATAAACATTAATTAAAACATACATGAACAGTATTAAGTGTTGCTTCATTTTCTTATGTAGAGTAATGACGATATGTTTTCACATGTGCACACTTACATATGTTGGCATTGTGATCTCACTTTTTTCTTTACCATTAATGGTTAGCAACTTCTATTGTTCCATTTATTAACATTAAGTAAAAAACAACCATATTAATTTTTTACATTAATTTTACTACAGCTACAACCAGGGTCTTATTTTCTTCAGTTGTATATGTAGAACCAGTTAGTCACTGGTTTTGTAAACATTAACGAAAACAATGCCGTGTCGTCTCCTCGTGTGTTTTAATATTCTACGTACTGTATTATTAATGAATTGTACTGTTCATTTTGTACACATAAATATTAATTAAATAAAAAAGACATTCAGTAATAAACACTAACGAATCTTTTGTACACAAGAGAAATAACGCTGTTTACATGAACGTTGGCCCTCTGCTGTCTCACTTTTTTCTTTACCATCAGTGGTTACTTCTACTGTACATTCATTCAAAAACAATAATTAAAAGAAACATTTTGTTTACATTATTTTTACTACAGCTACAATAAATCTTATTTTCTTCAGTTTCAGATGGAGAGCCATCGTCCCAGGTGTAAACACTGACGACAACAATGGTGTCCCATCTCCTCTTCTGTGACTACATATTATTATTCATTTATATTGTATAAGGTGCATTAATAACCATTATTTAAAGAATTTTTTTGTTTTTTCATTAATTTTCCTTTTTTGGGGAAAAGAAGGTAAAATACCACACAACATATATGAAGAGGTCACACTTTGGAATGCATCTAATTATTATGGCTTTATTTTAATGGTAATTAATGATTCATTATACGCCGATTCACCTTACACTGCGATATTGGAGGACACATTAACATGTTATTCGAGGCTTTACATCAACTTCCCCTATAAAACAATGGTAGAAGTTATAGGAGTCTTGTCAACATGTACAGCAGCACTTTCCTCTCCTGTGTCCCGTGTGTAGTGAAATGATTGCTAAATGGCAATGCAGTATTGTTTCTTTTATTTATTAGTATTACAGTATTTTTATTTATTCTTCACACTCACTGTTGGATGGCAGTACAATGATACTGTACAAGACTATGAAAACCAAGCTAAACAGCAACTGTTTACTGAGGTGTCAGGTCAGAAGCCCACCAAGTTGTGTGTGCATTTGTGGAGGGTTTCTTAATTGATATATTTTTATAAAATTTATTTATCATTCATATGTTATATGAAGGTGCTACTGTATATTGATCTAAAAGCATGGCTAACCAACCACCAAATAGGAGGCAGAAATTTATAACTAATCAGTCACCCTAAGCACTGACCACCTACAGTTTCCTGTTAGTAGAATACTGTACCTGTATATTCTTCTGTGGATTAAATAAACTTGATACTGAATACATTACTTCTTTAGAAACTATTGTTTCCCACAAATAATTGCCAAAAAAATATATATTTACGTTTGGGAGACCTCTTTCGTAGGAACGTATCTCCCTGTATATAATGCAGTACAGCATGCCCTTACAATTCACGGATGACACCATGGATGTACCCAAAAATGTCTGTGGGTAGTTTTGAAGTTGGCGACATTTTTGCGGCCAGGACAGGGAACCAGCGAGTTTAATGGTATCGCGAGTGTGCCACTATGCTCTTTTAACAACTGTGTTCCTCGTGCTTGTGATGGCTCCCAAAGCCCTCAACCACCTTCATCCAGCTGTGGGAAGGTGCCCAAACAAGTGAAGAGATAAAAGAAGGTCATGTATCTCCCCCATATGTACACCTGGCAATGGGAGCGAGTGACTGCTAGTTAGCGCATCGTCTGCAGTTGTAACTCTCCTCACTCCCTGCCATATTTCAATGGATTTACTGTTATTATTAGTGTTTACTGACTGAATAGTGTTTAATCATGGGATTGTAACTAGGTCACACATGTACAGTACTGGCTAGAAACACAAAATATTGTTATTTGAAAATAAAGAGCAACCTACCTTTCTTCTAATGGTTGACAATACATGGAAGAAAGTGGTTCCATGATTGTTCCACTTCAGGGATAATAACCCAGTGTCCATCTTAACACTTCACACCTGTAGATGAAAAAGAAAGGTTCAAATTTCCAATTTTGGTAGTCAAATGGTCTTATGGCCACGAACATGTCAAAATCCTACCTGTGGTGAGCTATAGTTCTCAATGATCATGCAAAATTATAATATATAGCTTCAAATACAATACCTGTACAGTTTAACATACTGTACTTGTTAACATTTCATAACAAAATACTGTACCTGCTCAATGTCCCTCTCTAATTTTACCAAGCTCTTACAAATTTAACTATTATACTGTACAGTATTAGCAGCCTGGGTCAAACACAACTACTAAATGGGCTGAGGAGCACCTGCACAAAAAAGGTAATCAAACTCTACACCTGGAGGGTAAATACTGTAACACAATGTCTTAATCACACTTGACATACAAAACTCACTATTCTTGTTACTTTTTTCATGGTCCAGATTTACTAATTTTTGTACTGGAGGAAAATACTAATCTAGAGCATTTTCCTCACAAATTCATAAACTGTATACTGTACAGTAAATATTTTTTAGTTACTTTGACTTTTAAAATTTACTTAAGAAATTACAATTGGAGGGATTTATGTTCACTCTAACAAGTTCACAGGATATATTGTTGACTTTACTCACGTGATTACCTGTATGTCTCTCCAATCAGCGGCAGTCATACTGTCACAAGATACACCTGCACATGTCCTAGCTTAGAAATTGAATACTTACGTCAATCAATCACAAGACGTCTCCTGTGTGTCAAGGGTGTTCCCAGTCATATTTCCTTAACCTTTTATTTCCAACAGCAATGAAAGACACCAGAAAAACCTATTTTAGTTATAAGTTCTCATCCATGTACACTAAAGAATTTGTACCATCTTCCCACCAATACTGTAGGATGATATAACCATCATTTTTGTTGTTTTAATGCTACTGATACTAATTTCCCACTATTTTTCTTAATACTATTATTGGTAAAGTCCTGTTGTTATTGTTAATGTTGCTGTTATGGCCTATCTGTTATCATTGTTGGAAATGTCGACGAAACAGTACAGTCGGACCTTGATATTCTTAGGAAAAAATACATGTGTTGCGAATGTAGTAAACCTTGGCTCAATGGGGAAAGGTTTGGCTCCTGGTATGACTGGGCACAGGGAGGAAATAGTAAAGGTTTAAGAACAATGATAACAATACACTTTGTATGGTCTGGACCTGTAAATAATAATAAACTATGATTTATTGAGTTTTTTATATACATTTAATGATTTGAGGTGTATTCATTAGTCTGTAAGTGACAAGTGCTCCAAATTTATATTGTGAAAAAGCATGCATCAATATTATGTAAATAGCAATAAGGTTGTCATTAATTAGGTCTTTTTACATTAGTGCACCGTTCTACCTAACCTAACCTGACCCCCTGATTAGGTTAAGTTAGGTTAGATTTGATTGTTTTTGGTGACTTTCTAAGCTTTTTACACATTTCTAATACCCAAAGAAAGAACTGTACACTGCTATAAATTGACCATTAATTATGATAAATAGAAACAATTTATGTGTCTAACCAATACTGTGTAAGAGTTCCTCCCCCTTCCTTCATCACAAACACCCCAGTTACCCAGTTCACTGACACCCCCCCCCCCCTCATAGACTACCTCCCAAATGATGATCTACACAACACACCAACGTCAGCACCCGGGAAATTCTATTTTTTGCAGCCGTCATCACCTCGGCCATCACCAATCACATCTCCATATAATGCAGATCGGTATTTTGGCCACCTAGCGCGGTTATTAAGTTTATTGTTATCATTAGGTATTCTATATAACCTACTCGTTTTCTTTGAGTAATTTTCGAGCATAACTGAGGGGACGTGTGCTTACTTGTGACATTGTGAGGAGAGAGGAGACAGACGCCACTATCACAACCGACGCGCAACAGATCCTCGGGGAATTTCCTTGCCCACTACGAGCTTAATTATATTTCACCATTATTTTTCCGTTTTTATACCATATATATATATATATACATCTAATTTTACCTAAATATTCATATATGAATTAATATCTTTGTTCCTAAAAATATTTATTGATTTTCCCAAAAAATTTCTAAACAATTTAAATAATAAGCAGGAATTACTTGATAAATTTTCTATTAACCAGCTCGAATTATTCGCTTGAACTAATTCTCTGAATTACATACCATTTTAATCAATAAATACTGTACATAGTTCTAACACATTCTTGTTTGATTAAAAATAAATTATGCCCGTAGTCGTTTCTCCTTTCAAAATGCTCAAGCTCAGCCATTGGATACACTAACCAACCGTGAATTACACGAAAGCGCTTGGGAACTTCGTGTTTTCTTTTTCCTTGTGGTTATCAACATGTATATATATATATATATATATATATATATATATATATATATATATATATATATATATATATATATATATATATATATATAAAATTTTCGCCACGGTTGGTTGGTCTACCCAATGTCAGTGCTGTTTGCCTCGTCCAATTTTACTATGGGAGGAAACCAGGGTTGCCAGCATTTACCAATATCCTTTCCGCCAATTGTAATTGTCAGCATATTGAACGGCTCTAATTAATGTGTACAGTTCATGATTACATAGTTAAAGAAAGCATGATCTAGGCGAGCGATAAATTAGAAATTAAGTACAGTACATAGATAAATAAGTTTATTGACCACAAAAAATGTGCAAATTGTATAGATACAAACATATTAAGATATAAAAAAAATCTCTAAGCTTTATTGTCCACGAAGATTATAAATTAAAACCAGAACATTTAAACGAAAAATAAAATCCCAAACAATAGTTTCTTGGGAGTATGAAAACCATTTTTCATTCGAAGACATTTTAAAGAACATTAAAAATTTTCATAACAAGGTCGATGGATGTGTGGGAATATTTTAAAGTATCAGAATGGGACATTTTAACACCTTTAATCGGATTAAAACTTGAATGTAGATGTGATTATCAAAACAGCAAATGTGGGATTTGCTGGTGAAGCTCGTAACACTGTAGTGGTTACTCTCCCCTACAACTGCCGACTGATCACCTGCCGTTCGCTTACCAGCCAATCAGCTTACAGGTAGTACATATACATATGTATATACTGTCAATTCAGGGGGCGCTTGTGGTAGAAGCGGTACCGCTCTTACCTCGCAAGCAAGATGTCACGGGTTCGATTCCCGGGCAGGCGGAAGTTGTTTGGACACTCTTCCTAGCCCCCTTGGTCCCTGTTCACCTAGCAGTAAGTAGGTACCTGTTGTAAATCGAAAGGTTGCGAGTTCATATTCAGGGAAAGTTGTTGGAGCTTCTAAACTTGAACTGACACAATCCGGAGGAATGGTGACCCGAGGATCACACACCCAACACAGACAAAACCAAATACGTGCGCTATGCGCTAACCAAATAAACGCAGTGGTGTAAAGCCACGGCACTATCTCTCCCACTACAATTCCCTTCCTAACCTCCTGCTCCTTCCTCTGTCATCTTCCCTGCTCTGACTTTCGCTCCCAACAACTTGTGGAGCTTCTAAACTTGAACTGAATACTGTCAATCTCTTACTTTCCTTCAAATTTCCTCCCTCTTTTCCTTGATCCTGAACCAATCCCCCTTCCCCCCAATTACCACCAAAGTACTTCCAATCCTAATCCCTGACCTCCCACCCAGCATTACAAGCAATAGCCTTCTACCTTATCTACAGACGTCAAGTCAAGGAACATTCGCCAGCCAGACTTCGCCCTCTCGCTGCTGCCATTGTTGGCCAACTTTCCTGGCCGAACCATCCACCACTGACATCGTCAACAACATCTCACGAGCGTTTTCGGTTTATCGAGCAACAAACTCTACTGCTGGGGCAGAAGACCGCCCTCTCGCTGCTGCCATTGTTGGCCAACTTTCCTGGCCGAACCATCCACCACTGACATCGTCAACAACATCTCGAGCGTTCTCGGTTTATCGAGCATTAGCTTGCCCCCCCCACTGGTGGTGTGAGTGACCCACACTCCAGCTGGAGAGCAGCTATAGCGCGATATTCCCGGCGTGGTTTGAGCTCTTTTCCTTCTATACTACTATTTTTCCTTTTTTCGCTCTGGCCTAGGGACCTGCACCCTCAAAAGTGTATTCGTCCTGCGGTCCCCCCTGTAACTGTTCACCTTCCTCCCAGGAGATTGTGAACACGAAAGGGGTTGGAGCAAGAACCCATCCCAGCCGAGTCTTTCCAGGAAAACTGTGATCGTGCGGGTCTGCCTGGAAAGAGGGTAGCAATCCTCATCCTTCCCCAATAGGCACACTTAGCTCACGTCTATAAGTGAGCAGTCACGTACACTAGGAAGTAGGTTTCCCCAACGGGGCTCCGGGAAAGAAGCTCAGGAACCACTCTACGACCACCCGGCCATCAAGTGCCTGTGGGGAGTGTTGAAATTCCTCCGCTACTTACTCAACCGGAATAGGTAGGCTCTAAAAAAAAAAAAAAACCTCCATAGAAGAAGAAAATACCATTTAACCACCGGTTATGGAGTGCGTACGCCCTCCTAACTGCGACCCCCGCCTGAACGGCCAACCCGACGACCCAAACCACGACAAGCTCCGCACAGAGAAAGCGGACCAGCTGCAGGCCTTCCACGAATCCCTGAAAACCAAGAACAACGCTATCCACACCACTGCCACCGCCCCCAACAACTTCACCGTCACTGCCACCGCCACTGAGGACAACAACTGGACGAAGGTTGAAAACAAAAAACGCCGACTTCATTTTCGGGAAACGAAATCCGTCAAGCAGCCTAAAAGGCACCAATCACCACCACCAGCTCGCCCCCAACGACACTGCCAAAATTCCGGATCTCGAAAATGGACACGAAAACGATTTATGCCGCCATCACAGAGATGGAGAAACAAAACCCACTGGCCAAGTTCTCAGTGCGGCCCAACCTAGAGGGGTAGATAATTATTCAACCCAAAGAAAAGGACTCCGCCACCACCCTCGACACTTACCTGAAAAACACCACCACCGTTGCATCAACCAAGCTGGATCCGGCCCAGAAACTGATGAAGTCGGTAGTCCTCCGATACCCAAAGGAGCTACCCTCGAACCCCTGGAGAACCATCCGAAGATCCTAAAAGCAGAGAGATGCCACCACAAAACAAGTGCTCATAACGCACTACGGTCCACCCCCGAGCACCATAGATCTCAAAACCTGGGGGATCTGTGAAGTGAGGCCCTTCGTTCCGGAGCCCCTGCGGTGCTTCAGATGCCAGAAATACGGCCAACATCAGACGAGGTGCACGTACAAGGAAATCTGCGCCGTCTGCACGCAGAAGCACGGCACACACTCCTGCCTCACCAAGTTGAAGAATGGGGAAAAAATTGCCCCCAAGTGTGCCAACTGCTGGGGCAAACACCACGCCTGGAACTCTGAATGCTCCAAGAGGACAAAGAGGGTCCAGGCAAACCGACCAGCAGCAAGACCGGCCCCCACCCCTTGCACACCAGCCTCACCAAGTACCTTCGCGTGGGGAACCCAAAGGCAAAAACAACAAAACCAACCCCTTCAACTGGTCAACACCCAAAGTGCGGCCCAGTTTCCTGGTCTCCCTACGGCCACACCTCAGCCACCCAAGCAGCAGACAACGACAACAACTACGAAAAAGACAAAAGAAGCACACACCAAGGCACCAGAAGGAATAATACACGTATCAGACCTAGCCAAGGTCCTGACAACCTTCGCAGAAGGCCTAGCCGGATTACTGGGCCACAAGATCCAGCCTACACATCTCCAAATACTCATGGGGAGCGTCCTCAGGCAAGTCGCCACAGCTCCAGCTACCTCAGTGGAGGACGCCATGCCGGCCCCCACACGAGTGACAGCCGAGGTACACTCCACACCGAAAAAGGCCACCAGGGAACCAAAGATACCGTCAGCTCCCACAAAGAAACTGGACGTTTCAGCACCCCTGAACCGAAACACGGCCGAGAAGGCAAAAACCGCCACAGAACAAGAGGATATGAACCTGATCCAGTCGGAATCAGACCTGAACATATCCATTGAGGAGCACCAGAGGTCCCCGATGAAACAGTGGTGGAAAACACCAGCACCCTGAACATCCTTTCATGGAATGCTCAGGGCATCAAAAACAAGAAACACCTCCTGCAAGAAGCAGCAGCCATGGACAAGGTTGACATTACACTGCTACAATAAACACTCCTACAAGACCACCACTGTTTCAAATTCAGCGGTTACAAGACATACAGGAGGCATTTCACGCAGGCGTCGACAAGAGGATGTATGATCTTGGTCAAGTCAAGCATACCCTCCTCCGAGATCATGCAGCATTTGCCATGTGGGAAAAACATTGAGACACAGGCCGTCAAAGTAACCCTCTAAGAACGGGAAATAACTGTCCATAACATCTACAAGAACCCAAGGGGCTCACTGGAGGTGACTCAATTATTTGCTTCGGCCGCAGACCACGCCACACTCATAGGGGGGGATTTAAATGCACATCATCCCTTCCTAAGCTCGGTAAGCCCCACAAATGAAGACGGCCTACACCTATACACCACCTTTCATGACACATCCGAGATCACCCTCCTAAATACTGGAGAGCCCACCCACATTAGGGGAGGAAGGCTAGATCTAACCTTCGTCTCCAGTGCACTACAGCCTTCGGTCTCCTGTAGCTACACCCCACGCTGACCAGCGACCACTTTGCCACCCTAATGTCATGATCGTGATAATGGCTAACCTGAAATCCTTAAGGATTCATATTACGCTCAAACGTCCACAAAACCTTCTGAGTCCCCCAGTGGAAACGTCCCCCGTTTTCTCTGTTTCCCCGTCTTTGTTTGTAGGGAACTTTGAATATAATCCACGGATTTCGTAGCAGACGTTGTATGTTGGGACCTGTTGCCATCCAACCCTTT